AATTCAGTAAGATGTAGCTGAACTCAACAGCACCACGAGTCAACTGGATAAAATTGACATCTGTAGACACCTAACAACAGCAAAAGACAAATTCTTCTCAAGATCCCTTGGAATTCAAGGTATACCACATTCTGGGCCACAGAACACATCTTAATAAATTTAAAAGAATATAAATCATATGAATGCTCTCAGACCACATTAAGGGAATTAAACTAGAAATCAATAACAGGAAAATCCCCAAACATGTGGAAGGTAAACACCACACTTCTAAATAACACATCAGCCAAAGAAGAAATCTCAAGAGAAATTTTAGCATGTCTTGAGCTAAATGTAAATGAAACATATCAAAATTTGTAAGTGAAAATACCACTTAGAGGGAGATTTATACCACTGAATGCATATATTAGAAGAGAACAAAGATCAAAAATCAATAACCTAAGTTTTCACTTCAGGAAACCAGAAAAAAGAAGAGCAAATTAAATCTAAAGTAAGCAGAAGAAAAGAAACAATAAGAATTGGAGCAGATATCAGTGAAATTGAAAACAAGAAATAAATACCAAAAAAAAAAAATCAGTAAAACCAAAAGCTGGCCCTTTGAAAATGTCAACAGCCAAGCTACCCTAAAAAAGAAGAAGAAGAAAGAGGGAAAGGGAGAAAGTGAGAGGGCACAGATTACTGATATCAAAGAAGAAGTAGAGGCCATCACTGCAGATCTTATGCAAATGAAAAGAATAATAAAGGAACACCGTGAACAATTCTATGCCCACAAATGTGATAACCTAGATGAAATGGACAATTCCTTGAAAGTCGTATTTGCCAAATCTCACACAAGAAGAAATAAATTGTCTGAAAAGGCCTAGATCAAAGAAATTGAATCAATAATGAATAACCTTCCAAAACAGAAGACACCAGGCCCAGGTGGTTCACTGCTGAATTCTCCCAAACAGGAAGAAATTGTACCAATCCTCTGCCATCTCTTTCAGAGGATAGATGCAAAGGTGATACTTCCTAACTCATTTTATGAGGCCAGCATTACCCTAATACCAAAACCAGACAAAGACATTATGAAGAAACTACAGACCAATATCTTATGAACATAGGGGCCAAATCCTGAACAACATGTTAGCAAATCAAATTTAACTATATATGAAAAGGATTATACACCATAACAGTTGGGATTTATCCCAAGTGTTCAAGGCTGGTTCAGCATTTGAAAATCAGTTAATGTAATCCATCACATCAATTAGACTAAAAAAGAAAAATCACATGATCATATCAAATGCAAAGAAGAAAAAGCATTTGACAAAATCCAACACCCATTCATGATAAAAACTCGATATAAACTAGGAATAGAGGGAAACCACTTCAACTTGTTAAAGACTGTACAAAGAACTTACAGCTAACACCAAACTCAATGCTGAGAAACTCAAAGCTTTACCACTAAAATCAGGTAAATGTAAAATGCAAAATATAAAAGTAGAATTTAACATAGGAAAGCTAAATGACCTTGGGTATGGCAGTGATTTATAATAGCCAAATCGTTATATTATAGTTACTGTATCATAGTCGCTACATCATGGTTACAACATCAAAAAGCACAATCCATGAAAGCAAGAACTGGTAAGATGAACTTCATTAAAATTAAAAACTTTTGTCCTGCAAAAGATAATGTCAAGAGAATAAGACAAGCCACAGACTGGTAGAAAATATTTGCAAAAGAGACGTGATAAAGGACTGTTATCCAAAATACACAAAGAACTCTTTAAACTCAACAGTATGAAAATGAACAACCTGATTTTAAAATGGGCCAAAGACATTGACAGACACCTCACCAAAGAAGATACACAGACAACAAAGAAGCATATGAAGAGGTGCTCCACATCTTGCCATCAGGGAAATGCAAGGTGAAATGTTACATACTTACAAAATGACCAAAATCCAGAACATCAACAAAACCCAAGTGCTGGTAAGGATGTGGAACAACAGGAACCCTCATTCACTACTAGTAAGAATACAGAATGAAACAGCAACTTTGGAAGGCAGGTTGGTGGCTTCTTTTACCATGTGATCCAGTAACCACAATTCTCGGTATTTACCCAACGGAGTTGAAAAATTAGGTCCATCTGGGGGAAAAAAAAAAACTTCGCACTGATGTTTACAGCAGCTTTATTCATATTTGCCAAAACTTGAAAGCAAGCAAGATTCCTTCAGTAGGTGAATGGGTAAATAACTATGGTACAGCCAATGGAATATCATTCGGCACTAAGAAGAAATGAGCTAGGAAGCCACGAAAAGACATGGAAGAGTCTTAAATGCATATCACTAAGTGAAAGAAGCCAATGTGGAAATGCTACCTAGCATATGACTCTAACTATATGACTTTCTAGAAAAGGCAAAACTATGGAGACAGTAAAATGATCAGTTTGGGGGTGTCAGGGAAAAATGAATAGGGGAAGCACAGGGGACTTTTAGGGCAGTGAAAATACTCTGTATGACACCGTAATGAAGGATACATGTCATACATTTGTCCAAATCAAAGGAATACGACACCAAGAATGAGCCAAAATGTAAACTATATACCTTGGGTGATTATGACATGTTGTCAATGTAAGTTCTTCAGTTGTAACAAACATACCACTCTCACTGGGGATATTGACAGCCAAGGAGGCTATGTTTGGGGGCAGAGCAGAGGGTATATTGGGAGTCTCTGTACCATCCCCTCAATTTTCCTATGAACCTTAAAGTGCTCTAAAAAATTGTCTTAAGAATGAAGGGAAAAAGGAACAGCCTTGGAGAAAATATTTGTAAGTCACATATCTGATAAGGGATTTGTATCTAGGATCTGTAACAATCTCTTACAGCTGAATAAGAAGAAACATCACATGTAAAAATGGGCAAATAAATGAATAGACATTTCATCAAAGAAGATATACAAATGGCAAATAAGCACATGTAAAGATGCTCAGTGCCATTAGCCACTAGGGAAATGCAAACTAAAACCAGCTTGAAATACCTACACACACCAGCTAGAATGGTTCTCTTTAAAAAGATAGTGCTGGGTTTTGGTAAGGATGTAGGGAACCCTCGTACACTGCGGGTAGGAAGATAAGGATGTACAGCCACTTTGGACAGTTTAGCCATTCCTTTAAAAGTTACTTACTTTTAAACTTACCACACGACCCAGCAATTCCACCCTAGAAATCTGAGAGAGATGGAGACATGCCACACAAACACATGTCCACAAATACTCATAGCAACATTTTTCTTAAGAATCATAAATTGGAAATAACTCCGATGCCAATCAACTGGTAAATGGGTCAGCAAAATATGTTCTTCATAAAAAGGAACAAAGCTGATACAAGCAAACATATTATACCAGACACAAAACACTATGCATTGCACGATTCCATTCATAGGAGATGTCCAGAAAAGGCAAATTTACAGCGACAGCAGGTCAGTGGCTGCCTAAGGCTGGGGGTTGGAGTGGGGATTAACTGCACATGGGCACCAGGGACTTTTGGAGTGAGGGAAATGTTCTCAAACTGGGGGTAATAATGGTGGCACAAGATTATGGTTCAGAAACTCTCACAACTATTGGAAAAAATATATAATTGCTGACAATTCAAATGTGTCTGTCTTACCTGTGCTAGCTGAAACCTCTGGTTCCTATCTTCACAGGTTTTTGAAATTTATTAAATCTCATCAAAAATACACTTAACAGTTACTCAATAATGTTCTCCAAACTTATCACTCTTCCAGGTCCTGTCTGAAGTTTGGCCTTGCGCATTCTTGAACAGAAAACCATCGAGATCCATTATACTCAAGGTGGCTACAGAGAGGAAAAGGAGGGTGTGAGAGCATGAGCTCCAGCTCCACGCCCTGGTGTCCTGTAAGTCTGGCACTCTGAGCTTCCATTCTCTCCCTCAGAGGACACCTCCGGGCGGGCTTGGTCCTCAATGAGTTTCTCTCTCTGGGCAACAAGGCTGCTGCTTTCCCCACCCGTGTCCTCTGTACACGTTAGAGGACCAGGCTGTATTCGCTCATCTCCTTTGCCGTCGTCAGACAACATCCCATTCATCCACCCGCCCTTATTAAGTGACTCCGTGATATCTGATGATTCCAGAACGTTCTCCCCTTCTGCACAGGAAAAGGAAGACGAGATTAAGGTAGGGCAGGCTTTTGATTTTGGTTAAATTTTCTAGATCTGCTTTTTATTTGTAGGCATTACACGTAGATTCCTGGATAAAGCCTCTCCTCAAAGAGTGGGTTTTGAATTTTGTAAGTTTCAGGAGCTGAAGAGGTGGGCACCTTCCTGTTCAGTCCTACCAAACTATCACTTCCCACTGGAGATGGGCAACAGGCGAGGAGCAGGCAGGAAGGAAGGAGACTAAGGATAACTAATCAGCTCTTCTACGCTGAACACAAATCAAGACACGTTCATGAGTTTTCACTTAATCCTTAAAACAACCTGAGGAACTAAGAATAATGAAGCCCCTCTTAGAGCAACACAAAATAAAAAGTGATGCATATTGGTGGTGGGTGGGGCGGGTAGCCAAGAGACACAAATGGGAATATGCCCAGTTGGGTCTTCAGACTCCAAACCACTTATTTGTTGAGAAGCTTGAGGGCCTAGGGAGTGCTGGCACTGAGCCAGACACTGGGAACACAACAGCTAATCAAAACAAATGCCACTCAGCATCCATGCAGCTTACAGCTCTAGTGGTGACTGGATCAAAGTCACAAAAATAAATATGTAATTATAAGCTGAAAAGTACCGCAGAAATTCAGTATTCCTTCTCTTCAAAGGACATCACCTCTTGACAAAACACACATGCACAGTGATCACCAGAACTTATTTATTCCCAGCCCTAAAGATGCCACTATAGGTGACAGAATATACACAGCACACATTATTTCTTTATCTGTCATCATTTTGTAAACACTAGTTGCATGAATGACTGTTTCTTCTCTAATGAGAAAATGGCACAACAAACTCAAAATGTGATTTCTTTCCGTTTATTTTACTATTTCAGTTTCAGTAAAAGATTCAGAGAACTGATTGACACGTATCATAAGCTATCTCCCACACGTATGTGGTATATATACACTGTTTCTTTTTCTTTTCCACTGAACAGGGTGATACTATCTGTTCACACCAAATTACAAATGAGAAGATACTATGAGTGGGGGAAAAAAAGTGTGGGTGTTGTCTTTTTATTCTCAGACAGTAAATGTATGTGCACCACGAAGGGGAAAAGCACTGAGGAAATGTGAACTAAGCAGTTGGTACCATTAGAGCGCCTCCCCTGACAGCAAATTGGGAACACTTTGCGTGACTGTAAAGGAAATTCCAAGTCCTTCATCCCTCTGCCACCTCATTGCTACACTGGAGTGTAAACTCTCTTCACAGTGCAAATATAAAAATGATCAAAGTCCGAGTTTTATGGCAATCTTTGCTAAAGTATATTCTGGCTAAAATGTATTCTATTTTAGTATACATGCTATAAAAGGATACTAAAAAGGTCAATCCTTAGAGCTCTGTTAAAATTAAGAATTTACTTTTTTACATATAGAATAATGTACACCCAACTCTAAAAGTATATTTGAGGATAGCTATTCCAGTGACCCCAAATATTTCTAGCTTTGTATTTTGTTTATAACAATATCAATTGTATAGTACATGTATTCAGTAATGCTCTCAATTCTGTTTTGCAGCGCCTTACTAATCACTGTAAAGAAAAATGCAGAGGGACTGTGTATTTCCAAGAAGTTCTTAGGTGCCAATCACCAAGTTTTCACAGTAAGTGCCTATTATTCATTTTTTAAAACTTTGGTAAGTAAATTCTTTTATGATCAACCTTTGGAGCTTTTAATGAGGCAAAAAGTGGGGAAAAAAAGAGGTGTTGAAAACTGACTTGTAGTTAGCATGATCTTCAAAGCACTCCCTCCCTCCTGTAATAGCATCTCCAATGCCAATTCTAGGTTTCATGGACTAGTGTGAAACCACGCTGACAGAACACACCCAGCGGCGATACGCGGACTGAGTGCACCTGTGCCTGCCAGACTCACGCAGTGCACCTGCTGAGGCGGCTACTCAGAGACTACACCTGTGAACTCAGGCACAGCTGCAATTTTTTTTTTATTTTAGGTAGAGCAGTAGAACAGAAATAGAAAATAATTGAAATCTGTTTCTGATTCAAACAAAAATATTTACTCTTTTCATTAGCAAAACATTCTTTAAAATATATCTCTGTCTTGTCTCTGAACATTTAGCCAAGGAGCAGTAGGCCGGTTTTGAAGGTTCTAGTGCCACCTGTGCAACACAATAAACACGGCTGCAGGGAGCACTCGGCGGCGGCAGCTTATTTACATCCACTGAGAGGAAGTTTATTCTCATCTGGTGACAGTGTCCTGGTCACCAAAGGGAAGGTATGGCATTCGTGTGCTTTTTGTTCCTGGTGAGAATCACATCTGCTTGGTTTTCGTTGTTGGAAGAAAAATTAATCAGCCGATGTCCTCTGATTCTGTGACATGATGTGAAAGAGGAATGCGATAAAAATGTGCTGCTAGCATGGAGTTAGTCTGGGAGTGAGAGTCTCCAGGCAGATCTTGCTGCCTCCCAGGTGAGTGTCCAGTGGGCATCATGGGACCGGGAGGGAGGGACACAGCAGGCAGAGCCCTATCCAGGGACGGGCCCCCACCCCCGCTCACTACCCTACATACAGGTCTTCAATGCTCGTGGCTACAGAACTTATGGAAACCCGTTCACAGGGAAACAAACAGAGATCTTGACCAAGAGGAGGGCTGCTCCCGTGCCACGGTCCCGCCACGGTCCCATGCTGTCTCCTGACGACTGTCCTCTGCTAAGACCATCGGTGGAGGAGGAGCACCGTGAAGCTCCTTGTCGCAGAATTCGCCTTTGTTTCTCTTGAGAAGTTTCTAACAAGCTTGTGTTTTTCCAAACAATTTTATCAAAGTAGAGTCTTGATGTCTGCTCTTTCCAGCAAACTAAAAACGAGAGAAATTGCAGCCTCTCTCTCCTGAATTCCAAACCTCCCTAAAAGTGGAATGTTTTTTCCTGACAAATGATTACTTACATCTTTGAAAAGTGGACACTTTTTTTTTTTTTGGATCCAGCTCAGCCCTTCAGAAAATACTTCAGACTGAAGGAGGAGGAAGTGCAGGAAAACTAACTTCCTATTGTGCCTTACATAAAACATTCTGCTGAAATTAAGAGCAGCTCCAACTACAAAAGTAAATATTTGTGCAAAGGGTGCCCAAATGCCAGGTGCAACCTTAAGACACCCTCACTTTACTCATAGTGTTCGACTCTTTAAAACACAAGTCTTTCAAGTGATGAAAGCTAGCAAGTAAGGGGAAGGAAGTTAACATCAGAAAATAGACTTTAGAAAAAGTACAGGATACTCTGCTGGCAATTTGCTACTTATTTCATAACTGAGATCAAGGAAGTGTTAAATATTCACAGTAATTTCAAAGAAGAAACATTCATGTCTGTAAGATACCAATCTGTTGCATTTTACAACCATTTTCTGTACAGTTACAAAATTTCATCTGTCAGTGCTTTTCTGTAGAATTGTTTATTGCCAGTCCTTCCCTCTCTGGAGCCAGTTATACCTTCAAACTGGGCTGCAGGATTCCTTTCTCAATGAGATGCGTCTTCAGCGTTTTGTATATATTTAGCTGCTGTTCTGGTTGAAGCACCAACAACTGTTGTAGCAGTTTGCTAGGATTTGGACCCCTGATAACAGAGCAGAAAAGACAAGGTTCATGATATTTTAAGAGCGCTAAAGAAAGCATATACTTGTCACTTAAAATAAACCACACATTTAAACGCAGAGTAGTAATCTTTACGGAATTGAAACAGCTCTTGATCAGAGCTCATTTTAATGCCCAATTTAGTGTCAAAGGGAGAAAACAAGCCAAAACTCTCTGCATTGAGGGGCGTACAGTCTGGATGTGGGAAGAGTGCACAAACAGAAAACAGGACCAACATGAAGCAAAGTACCGAATGCAGAGCTAAGTTCCACAACAATTCTCAGAGGAGGTGAGGATCGTAAACAAATCCTGAGATCAGACAAGACACAAAATCCATTCTGTAAGAAGAAGAGCAAAGTTCCTGGTGGATGAGAACGGACCAAAAGAGAACATGAAAATATCAGACAATGGAAGCTAAAATTTAAAATTATATTTCTTTGAAACTATTTTGTTGGGAAAATACCATTGGGAACTACAAATACTCAAGAGGCAGGACACGAAGTTCCTGAGACCAGCACTGAAGCCCCCACCTAGGATCTCCAATGGGAACAACAGCCTTTGTTCAAAGCAGGTCACAGGTAAACCCCAACAGAGGAAACAAAACTAAAGCGGCTCTGCTCTAGTGGAAAGGAGGAAGGGGAAGCGGAGGGCCTGCGCCAGAAGCCCCACTGGGGATGAAATGAGCCCAGCTGGCCTCTAAGCAGCCACCGGGCAGTGACGCGGCTCTCCAGCAGGAATCCCCCAGCCCGTGCAGGGACCTCTCCCCACGTGGCTCCGTCACAGTGAGCTCCTCCAACATCCCTCCCCAGCCCTTCTGCCTGCACCCTCCGATGGTGCTTGTAGGTCAGAAAAGGTCCCGAAAAGGACTCCCCGCACATCTTTCCCTCCCGAGACACCACTACAGTCGGGGGATTGCAGTTTCCCACCCTCTGGACTCTAGAACTCAACCGTTTATGAGCTGGAGATCATCCTTCTGTACTTACACCGCCAAAGTGCTCTTTTGTCAAATTCAGATTTTAACATATGTATTGTTCTTTGCAATTTCTACAACCCATTTGAATAGGAAAAGCGGGGTAGGTTTACTTTTGGTGGAGAGTGAGTAGGAAAATCCAATAGGAAAAAGCAAGACAAGTAATATATGGAAAATGGCCCAGAATTCTAAAACATTTACAGGGTCATTAAATGTATGACATGAACTCTTCAGTTCAAATGGAATCATAAGAAATAGAAAACCCAGCAACAAAGAAATGTTTGCTATGCAGTGATATCACAATGAAAATCTCTGATTTAAAAAACTGCACAACAACGTGGATTAGCTGTCCCACGGGTCACCTTCATGCACGTGGCTCAGCTCATCTGCCAAAAAAACTATGTCTCTGACAGCCACAGTCTACCCAACTCAGGACACAGCCTGTCTTCCATTTCTTCAAAAGATTCAGCAACTTCATAGCATAAACCCAGAGCAGAGGCCCACAGAGAAAAGGAAGACTATTCTAGCAAGTTCAGCTAAATGCAAAATTGTGTCAGCAGGTGCTCCCAGTGAGTTGCCCACTGGCTCAAGCACGGTATTTCTAATAGTCTAAATATTAACTTTCGGATGGAGGACAACATGGCTCAACATGACTTTTCCCTACTGAGAGAACAGCAGATCAAAAAAAAAAAGTTTGAGTTAGTGCTCTGAAAGCTGCCATCTTCTGAAAATAAAGAGTTCTAAGGATTTAACCACTAATTACTAAGACTGAAATGTATCAGTTAATAAATCACATACAAGTGAATTAAATAACCCAATTAAAAAGACAAAGATTGTCAACTGGGTTACAAAAAAGATCCACCTATATGCTTGTTAGAAAAGAGAAACACACTTTAAATAGAAGGAAAAAGGAATGCAAAAAAGTAAAAGGACAAAGAAATACTCTGCGAACACTAACCAAAAGAAGGCAGATGCAGCTAGTCTTCTATTCAACAAAGTAGGCTTTACGAGTAGTATATAAAGATGGACATTACATAAGGACATTAGAAGTGATTCAACAGGGAAACACAAGAGTCCTACATGTGTGTACACCTAACACAACCTCAACGTAAATAAAGCAAAAACTGGGAGATTCTGATGAAGCTCTCTTCATAACTGACAGAACAAGCAAAGGGGAAAAACACGTCAAAAAAATCAGTACAGAAAATTCAGCTCAACTTCACCCAGTTGACATGCAACACTGATCCTGGAACTTCACAATGCATACTTGTTTCCTGTGCACCTGGAACGTTTATCTGAGCAGACAATATGCTTGGGGCACAAAGCAAATCTCAACAAGTCTTAAATACTGAAATAGTATGTTTTCTGACCATAGTAGGATTAAAGCAAAAATCAGGAAAGGAAGGAGACTGACATAATCTCCATTTGTTTGGAAACTAATCAATACGCTTCTAAATAATCCCATGTCAAAGAAGACAGAATACTGGGAATCAGAAAATATTTGTAACTGGATAATGAAAATACAAATACAACCCGTGGGATGAAAGTACTTAAGAGTACTTCAAAAGTGCTACTTATTTCCTGTCAAGATGGTGGAGTGGTGGGACCATGAGCTCACCTCTCCTCATGACTACAATAAATCCACAACTGAATGCTAAACAACCACTGAAAAAAAAAAAAAAAAAGACTGGAAACTAGCAAAAAAAATCTCCTGCAACTGGAAACAACGAGGGAACCACAGCAGGACGGCAGGAGGGGCGTGATCGTGATATAACTGGCCCCATAACCGCTGGGTGGGCGACCCACGAGCTGAAGATTTAAGTCACAGAGGCCCCCCCCACAGGAGTGAGAGCTCTAAGCCCCACCTCAGGCTCCTGAGCTCAGGTTCCAGCATTCGGAAGAGGAGACCCTAGAACATCTGGCCAGCGGGGCTTGGCACCAGGAGCCCCACGGGAGACTCCATTCGCTTGAGAAGCGTACATGGAACCTCAAGTGCACCAGGTCCAAGGGCAGAGGCGGTGATTTCATAGGAACCTGGGCCAGGCCTGCCTGCTGGATTTGGAGGGTCTTCTGGGGACATGGGGGATGGCTGCAGCTCACTCAGGGGGCATAAAAGCTGGTGGTGGACATTCTGGGAGTGTTCATCTACATGAGCTTTCCTGGAGGCTGACATCTTGGTTGGATCATTAGCACCAAGACCTAGCCTCACCCAGCAGTGGGCAGGCACCAGCTCCTCCTGCCAGGAACTCTGCATAAAACCTCTACTCCAGCCTCATCCACCAGGGGCAGATACTAGAAATAAGAAAACAACAATCCCAAAGCCTGTGGAAGGAATCCACAAACACACAGAAAGATAGAAGACATGAGGCGGCAAAAGAATATCTCCCAGGCCAAGGCACAAGATAAAATCTCAGAAGAAGAAATAAGTGAAGAGGAGATAAGCAATTTATCTGAGAAAGAGTTTAAAGTAATGATGGTAAAGATGTTCAGAGAACTCGAGGAGTATAGATGCACAGAGCAAAGTTTTTAGCAAAGAGTTGGAAATTATAAAGAATACCCAAACAGAGTTGAAGAACAAAATCACTGAAATGAATAACAAATACACTAGAAGGAACCAAGAATAGACTAAATGAGGCAGAAGAACAGATCAATGAGCTAGAAGACAGATTAGGGAAATCACTACTTCAGAACAGAAAAAAAGAAAAAAGATTGAAAAGAAATGAAGATAATTTAAGAGAACTCTGGGACAACATGAAGCACTCTAACATTCGCATTATAGAGGTCCCAGAAAGAGAAGAGAGAGAGAGAGAAAGAACCTGAGAACATTTCTGGAGAAATAATCACCAAAAACGTCCCCAACTTGGGAAAGGAAACAGTCCCCCAAGTCCAGGAAGCGCAGAGAGTACCACACAGAATCAGCCCAAAGAGGAACACACCAAGGCACAGTCATCAAATTGACAGCAATTAAGGATAAGGAGAAAATATTAAAATTAGCAAGAGACAAGCAACAAATAACATACAAGGGAACTCCCATAGGTTATCAGCTGATTTTTCAGCAGAAACTCTACAGGCCAGAAGGGAATGGCATGACATGCTTCAAGTGATGAAAGGGGAAAATTTACAACCAAGAATACTCTCGTCCAGACTTGATGGAGAAATCAAAAGCTGCACAGATAAACAAAAGCTAAAAGATTTCAGCACCACCAAACCAGCTTTACAACAAATGTTAAAGGAACTTCTCTAGTCATCAAAACATTAGAAAAGAGAACAAAAAGAAGAAAAGAGGGGGAAAAAAAGACCTACAAAAGATTGCTTTGGCTGTTCAGGGTCTTTTGTAGCTCCTTATAAATTTTGGAATTGTTTGCTCTAGTTCTGTGAGGAATGTCTCGAGTATTTTGATGGGGGTTGCGTTGGATCTGTGGATTGCTTTGGGTAGTACAGCCATTTTGATAGTGTTCAAGAGTACAAGAAATCTTTCCATTTCTTTGTGTCATTTCGGCTTTCGAAGTATAGGTAACCTCCTTGGTTAGGTTTATTTCTAGGTATTTTGTTGTTTTTGATATAATGGAAATGTTTATGCCAGTTACAAAACTCTGGGTTTTGAAGTGGAAAAAAAAAAGTGAATGAAGGGCCGCAGATGGCAAAGTATCCTTCTTTCTTATGTGTAAGTGTGTGTAAGTGCATATATACACATACATCTTCATTATCTATTCAACTGTCGATGTGCACTTAGGATGCTTCCATATCTTGGCCATTATAAATAATGTTGCTGTTAATAGTAGGATGTATATATCTTTTTGAGTTAATTCTTATTTTGTGGTTGGCTTTATTCCTTTGATAACTATGTAAGTTTAAAAAGCTAAAGCTCTAAACGTTCTTAGAAACAATGAACAGTACATATACGTAAAGTAAAAAATACATGTGCAGTGAAAAAAAAAACTATCAAGCCGTGAAAGACATGGAAAAAACGTAGAAGATATTACTAAATGAAAGAAGCCAGTCTGAAAAGGCTACACAATACACTTCAAACCAAATGACATTCTGGAAAAGGCACAGCTACAGAAACAATAAAAAGATCGTGGTTTCCAGAGGTTTGGGGAGAGGGAGGGATGAATAGATGGAGCACAGGGGATTTTTAGGGCAATGAAATTATTCTCTATGGTATTATAGTGGTGGCTACATGTCATTATGCATTTGTCAAAGTCCTAGAATGTACAACATCAATAGTGAGCCCTAATGTAAACTGTGAACTTTGGTTGATAATAATGTGTCCGTGTTGGTTCATTGATTGTACCAAATATGCCACACTGATGAGGGCAGGGGAGTATACGTGTGTGGGTGGGGAGGGCTATGTGGGAACTCTGTATTTTCTGCTCGATTCTGTTGTGAACCCGAAACTGCTCTAAAAAAATAAAGTCTATTATTTTTTTAAAAAAGCACTAATTAAGAGTAAATGTATAGTGTTAGGTGAATATATTAGAAAAAAGGCTGAAAACCAATCATCTAAGCTTTATCTCAAGAAGCTGGAGGAGGAACAGCAAATTGAACCTAGAGAAAGAAAGGAATGGGAGATGAGAATGGACATCAATCAGACAGAAAACAAACAACACAGAGAAAGTTAACAGGTCAGAATTTGACTCTTTGAAAAGATTATGAAATAAACTCCCAACAAGACTGCTCAAGAAAAATGAAAGTTAATACAAAAATGCTCACACTACTATGGGTATATATTTAAAATGCGTATTTAGGGACATTTAGATACGAGTTTCTCTCCAAATAACTCTGAAGGAAGTCCCTGTTTCCCAGGCTCAGGCACTGTAGAGACCACGGCAAATAAAGTCGTCACGTGGTTGATGTGGTTAGCTTTCACCCCTCAAACGGGCGTTATAGAGCAGATCCAAACCATTAAAGTTTAATAATGGGAATAAAACACCCGGCATAAAACAGCAACACCCTCCACTCACCCCTCCCCACCTCTCCATCCCCCGCCCCCAACATATACACACCCACCCACCCCTGGCCTGCTTTATTTTTGTCCATGGCTCTTATAACCACCGAACAAGCTATATTTGTCTGTTTACTGTCCACTCCTGCTGCTGCTCCCTCCAAATTCCCAACAAGAAAATAAGCTTTGAGGACAGGGACTTGGTTTGTTATGGTCCCTGCTACATCCATGCTCAGAACACTCCCAAACTCGTAACAGGCACTCAGGCAGTAACTGGTGGACTGGAGGAGTCATTATGTCCTCCTTTTTTTTAACTCTTAGTATTCACTATCATTGCAGTGTCCACTGTTGAGGTATCAAATCTCCTGATGTTCCAAAGCCAGTACCATTCATCCACATTAACTGAATTTTAACTCAGCCCTATTAAGAACTATGACATACACTAGTACTGTTTTTAAGTTGGAAAATAATTATAATCTAACTACAGTTGTGACACAATTCCAGGAGCTGCCATTCCCTTCGATATTACCGATTACCCATGACAGAAAAAATAACTAATTCAAACTCATGCCAATGGAAACAAGAATTCAAAGAAATCATTTCTTAAAAATCAAAAAGTACCTTATAAAACTTGTGATGTACACATGCACAAAAGTTGCCATCAAATACTGACAATCAAATCTGTCCATTATCCCACCATGTCCAGGAATGGTGTTTGCAAAATCCTTCAGGAAAAAAAACACACACACATTAGTAAGCTTTC